TACTCTGTTTTGCTCTGCTTTTTACTCCATTTTTGCTAGTTGAAGGTTGTGTTTACTAAAGTTGATTCCCTGTTGATGTTTGTGCTTCACTTTGATCATTGTCCTGTTTTTGTTTGGTGATTGTTTAGGGTGTTAGACTTTTAAAACCAACTTTTCTTTGCTTGGTTTAGCTTACAAGAATATCATGCATTCTCTCTGATTATCTTTCCCACTTGGATTTGACAAAGAACCTTGAGCTATACTACAACTGGCTATGAAGGGTATTTAATTACAACGAGTAGTAAAACACTCTTATCACACTTCCCTCTACTTAAAATTAGTTAAGTGCAGTACAAACATCTCCAACTGGAAAAAACCAACATTCCTTTTATACACGAGAGAGGATCAATCTACTCAGGTATCAACTAGATCAAGCCTTTTTCTCAAGACAATTAACTACAACAGAATGCAAACAACTACGCACACAACTCAACCAAGCCTACATCGATGAGGAAATATTTTGGAAATGTAAAAGTCGAAACACTTGGCTGAAGGCAGGCGACAAAAACACCAGGTTCTACCATGCAGCAACAAAGACAAAGCGACTCAAAAATAGAATACTGTCGATTCTAGATGAATAAGGAGTAATAGAGAGAGGAGATAAACAGATTGGGGCTGCTGTAGTTTCCTACTTCACTAATTTGTTTGTCGCACCAGACATAAACCATGAGATCCTAAATGAAGCTTCCACTGGCTTTGATAGGAAACTTACAGATGAAATCAATACGGATTTGATCAAACTAATTACCATGTAGGAAGTCAAGATAGCAGCATTCTCAATTGGCGCTCATAAAAATCCAGGACCAGATCAGAAATTTTGACCTGATACTGGAGATACGGTCTTTAAAGAGATTCGACAATTTTTCAGAAATGGTACTTTTGATCAACTTCACAATCACACAAATTTATGTCTTATACCAAAAATATCGCAACCATCCACCATTGCTGATTTCCGACCAATGGCTCTTTGCAATGCAAGTCACCAAATCATCTCAAATATATTGGTAAATAGACTTACAAGCAGTTTTTGTCCTAGGGCGAATGATTACAGATAATATAATCATCGTTCATGAAGTTTATCATGCTCTTAAAGTTAAGAAGAGACAATCTAAATCCTACATGGCCTTAAAGACATACATTACCAAGGCCTATGATCATTCAGAATGGAGGTTCTTGGAATAAACCATGATCTGAATGGGTTTCGATGACAAATGGATACAATGGATAATGTTCTGTGTTCAAACAGTAAGATTTTTCAGTCCTCATCAATGGAGCACCAAAGGAATTAATCCAACTAGAGAGAGGTATACGACAAGGGGACCCCCTCTCCCCTTACATATTTATTTTATACGCTGATGTCCTATCCCATATTGATAAGGATATAGAACCTCAACACCAAGTTACCACAATGAGAGTATCACCAATAACAAGGTCAGGAACAAGAAAGTTACAAGAAGACTTCAACAATGCAATCAAGAGCTTAATTATTCAAAAGGAGCTTGAAGACATGACTGTTCAAATGAATCAATTTGATATCTCACCAAAAGACCACCTTGAGCTTCACGGCAAGACAAGCATCAAGACTTGGCAAAAAGAATATATGAAGGACGATTCAAGCATGAATCTATATTCACATAACAATGAATGGCCGGTTATACAATCAAACCAATGAGTTGCCTTATCATCAAACTAGCTTAAATCGAACCAAGATCAAATCAAGGAGAAAGGATTGCACTTCAAATCAAGCAGCAAAGATACTTTCCTTACTTGATTACACGCCTACAACTGCTAAGGTAAGTATTTCATTTATATTGAATTATTGGTTAATCCCTTGTGTTTCTCCTTTGTGATCTTCTTGTGGCGTAGTTTTTATTTTGATTTTTATTCAGTAGTGAAGGGATTTGTTAGCCACAAAATTAGCCCGAATAATGTAATTTTCATTTAATGTAATTTGCTTCAAAGTCTCCTAGAAGGGCATAGCTGTTTGGACTATTTATAAAGCCTCTCTCAAAGCAGTGTATTTTTTACCTTTGATCAATAAGAAAAACCCTTTTTGTGTTCTTTAAAAAATTCAAATAAATTTCAAGTTTAGAGCTTGTGTGAGATTCACTTGTTCTTAATTCTTTGATTTATCATTGTCTAGTCCATAAGGCATTATGGTATCAAGTTCGATCCCCTCCATCTACTCCATTCCATTCAAAGATCCGTTTTGAAAGAGTTCCACAACCAGCAGATTGGGTTCCATCTCATCCACTTTGATTCCATATACTGATGAAGTAGAAAGAGTTCTACAACCAGCTATTGGTTCCATTGATTCATTTTATTTATAAGATTATACCATATTAATCTTATATTATCTTGTATCAGAGCTTAGGCTCCAAATCAGGTGAATTTATCCTTATATTTATCTTGCAAATTTTCTTATTTTGTGTTTTATATCTAAAATAAAAGAAAAATATATATTTTGTTTCATTACTAGCATTCCATTAAATTGAAAAAAAAAATGTTGTGTTTTGTGTTGCATATTTTAATCGTTGTTCTAGATTCATATGTATCATCTTTATTTGTGTTCATTGCATCAAAAAAAAATAAAAAAAATATTAAGCCTTTTTTCATTGCCATAATCACTTGTCTCATTACCATAATTAGACTTGGAATACGAGCTTCTCGTTGTCATTGCTTCAATTATTACCATTACTAGATGATTATCCGCGCACATGCGCTGGTTGTATCCACATAAATTTTTATTTTATTTTGTGTTGTAAAATTTATATAAATTAATATAAAATCTTAATTTCTATAATCATTAAACCCAAAATAGTGTTGCCTATTTTAACTATAAAGATAGTTGAATAATAATCAATGATTGGAAAGAGTTGAGAAAGTGTAAAGAGCTGAGAAAGTGTAATTGAAACAAATCATAACCTGTAAAAGTTTTTTTATTAAAAAAGAAATATAACATGTAAAAGTTAGAACCATGGTTTTCTATCTCGATTTTTTTTGTTTCTTGACAAAGAAAGGTCTCATATTCATACAAATGTTTGGCCTTTAATCTTTGAAGATTATACAACAGAAAAATCATTCATCGACGAACTTAACCCACTAAAATTGTGAAATCTTATCGTAAAACCATTGTCCATTACATACATTTCGAATTTCAAGTGTAAAAATTATGATTTCATCATTGAAATACATGAATTGTCAATGAGTTTGTTTTTTTTCAACTGTGAAAACACCAAAATTACTGGTTTCATATGAAAGCACATTCTGTAATCTCATATCGTAATTCTGTGTAAATAATTTATCGTATGATTCTTATTTGTGAAAAAACAAAACGGTCTTTTTTTGGTATTAAGTTTCAACATTAAATCAGATCCTCTGTTCTACAATCTAGAAACAACATTTTCATGATCATAGACAAATCCATCTTCTAAGTAAGGGATGGTTCTGTGAATAATCACATTCATAAGAGCTTCAACTCCATAAGCATCATCATCATCTTCAATGCAGATTGCAGCGTAAAAGAGACGAAGCAATACGCCTAAACTACCATTCTCCAATGTTCTCCCTGCCTTGCAAAGATTGTAACTTTCTTTTGATCCAGCCTCGGCTTGGATGATTGAAAAGGGGTTAAAATGTGAAGCAGAGAAGCCTTTTCCGCCTTCACATATGCTTCTTTGTGAGTCCAATGCTTAATATCTCGCCGAGCGTCAGTGTATGTATATCCTATAGTTGGAAAAAGTTGACATCTTGAGATTAGTAAAATCTCTTTGCAAGCCAACACATCATGCATCTTCCTTCTCTTGTCTTCAACATCAACTTCAACCGGAGCATTTACTGTCACTTCACAAGCTATCAATGAATCTGTGTGCGAGATGTTGAATTGCAATTTCGGATTATTAGTTCTGTAAATCTCCAATCAGGTTTCCCGTACAAATTCTTCCTAAACTTTAAGGACCTTGGATCCACCCCTAGGGTTAGTCAATATACTCGAATCATAATTTTTTATTTTAAATTAAAAGACCACCATAGAAAGACCTTAAGAGATAATACCAGGGAACACCTGACGACCTTCGTTTTGTGCAAACAATCATAGGAAAATCGGTATCATCTGTTTTTTGATTGCAACTACTCGAAAGAGACATGGAAATCTCTCACACAATACGGTTAGTCAATATACTCGAATCATAATTTTTTATTTTAAATTAAAAGACCACCATAGAAAGACCTTAAGAGATAATACCAGGGAACACCTGACGACCTTCGTTTTGTGCAAACAATCATAGGAAAATCGGTATCATCTGTTTTTCGATTGCAACTACTCGAAAGAGATATGGAAATCTCTCACACAAAGGCTGCTAGGACCACGTTACACGACATATTGGGGTCAGCTTCTTGACATCCTCCATAACTCAATCTTTGACCGAATCGCAACTTTTTTACTCAGATTTGTATTTCAGTCTACTTTATACCATCTTTGGCGGGAAAGAAACGGACGATGCCATGGAGAAGAGCCATTGCCGTATCTTCGAGTGATCAAGCTCATTGACAAGAATGTGCGCAACAGGCTCAGCTTGGTACATGCCGCAGGAAGGAGACAGCTCATACGAGGAGGGAATAAACCTTTGGTTTGCAGCCCAAACTTCTACATAGCCATCGCCATTGCAATCTCTATTTTTAAGCCCTCTGTTTCTGTTTCCATAAAATTAAAAAACTGATGGAGAAATGGTAAAACAGTTTTTTTATTCATTTAACATTCATTTCCAACAAAAACTAAAGAGATAAAACGTTGTAATCAATTTGAGTGGATTTTGTATCAGATTTCCAAGAGAAAGTCAGAGTAAATTGAACCAGTTTAGCCATTACAACTCCATGTTCACCTCCTTTCCCTGATCCAACATTTTATTTTATTTATAAAATATATTGTAGGATAGATGGATTTGTACTGTATATTGGTTTATATTTGTTTGTCGCACGAAAAAATAGAATCTTTACATTTGATTTTCAAATGCCCACTTTATAGCTTTTCTAATCAAACACATAATCATGCCAAAAAATCTGTAAAGTTGGGATTTGGACTAAGAGAGGGATGATCACTTACTTGTTTGAGAGAAGATAAACAAAGATGAGTGGTGGAGAAATGGGTTGAGTTATCAGAGAGAAAGAAGTTGAATTTGTCAGACAGAACGAAGATGATCCTTTATGTTCACTACTGCCTTCGCTGCATTCTCTTTAAACGTCTCTATCACCCTAACATTAACATCATTCATTTCATTCCACTGCTTATATCTACACATTTGTCTAAACGTTTCAATAAAACACTGATTTGGACAATTTTTTCACTTAAGGAAACATGGCTTGATCTAAAAGACTAATTTTTATTAGGGATAAACCTATCAAAAAGCCATTCAGGCTTCTCAAACCCATTGAATCGAACAAAGGAACTACCACACCAATGCAATTTAATAGCTATATAAATCAGCAACTCTGTAACATATAGGTTCAAATTAATATAAAACGGTAGTACCTGCAAAACTATGAAAGCCATGGGAAGTTTTTGTAACTCAAATAAAAACTTGATGTACTTCTCTCTCTTGTCCTTCTCAAATAGTTGCTCGTGCTCAGTGCCCATAATGATTTCTTTAGTAGAAACTGAATTCAGAGAAAGACAAAACAAAATCAATATCCATGTGAAAAAATAAAATAAAAGAGAAGTACACTCATATAATAGTGAAGCACAACCTTCTGTTGTCTGCACACACAGTAAACTCTCCGTCGTCATATTCGCCTACATCAGTGAAATGAAACCATTTTTTATAATTGTCTGCAACATCTTGATAGATCGATCGCTACAATCAACTATAAGACTTCACTGATGCATGCAGAATCCAATCAAAATCAAAACTTTATGGAAACCCAGAACATCAAATCCGAAAACCCAATGACATTTGAATCAAATTTCATACCAAGGATCTCTGTAGTTGTTGGATATCTTCAGACGGAACAGATCCAGGACCGCCGTCAGAGAACAGTTCCTTGCAGGTATTAAACAGCCGTCAAACCTTCATTATCTCATCCACCGGAGAGCCAGTCTTATTCTATTGCCAAGTCATCATCATCCACTTAGTCTTCTTCTTCTTTTTATTCTTATAATCTTCTCTAAGAAAGCGATGAATTAATAGCTGGAAGGATGAGAAATCATTACATGAAATAAGCTCTACCGAAATAGATGAGAAACTCAAATCGAAATTGAATCAGAAGAGAGGAGCTAAACCCAAATCAGGATTTGTAAGCTAACTGAAATGAAAGAGAAGAGATTGTTTAAATTATATAATTTTAAGAAAATCACTGAAACCAAAAATATTAATTTACCTTTAATAGTTTATTGGAACTGTAGTCGTGTTTAGGAATGTTGACAGGTTTTGATATTGAAGAGAGGAAACAAAAAGTTATGGAAGATTGAGAATTTGTTTATAAGAAATAAAAATCAATGCTGATGTGTCATTGAAGGGGGTGTTGACGTGTCATTCTCTTGTGAAACACAACTCAGTCTTTATATAATAGATTAGGTATATAATTCGCGTTACGCGCGAGTCTGTATTAATATTTTGATTTATTTTTTTAGTTATTATCTTTAAAATTATTAAAAATTATAGAAATTTATAGAAATTTTTGTTTATATAAGAGAATTTAATATATAATGTGTAATTTATCCTATTTTTATTTATAAATTTTAAAAGCTATTAAGTAAAATAATAACAATGACATCTATCGAATTATCCAACTTTGACGTACATATACATTTGATTTAGAGAAATATAATCTTGCTAAGATTTTGGTATTATTTTATGTTTTCCATAGAATTTCTATAGTTCTTTTTTTCTTGAAGGTTTATGTATTCAAATATTTAGTTTTTTTTTATTGAAAGTCTTATGGATGTTGTGTACCACTGTATATATAATACATGATTCATGTTGATTCATATTTAATTTTGTTAGGAAGCTGTAATGATCATGCAAAACTATTTTTTCCTTCTCCATCATGTCTTCCAAAAGTTTTATGTTATATTTTTATTCAGTTTTCATTGTTTTAATTGTTAAATCGAGTTGTTGTAGATTTTTTTTTAAATTGATAACTGATAATGGTTACTTTTTTATATACATGTATTGTTAATTTTAAATTTTTATTTAACTTTTAATATTTTAAACCATATTAACATTTTCTGATTTAATAAATATGTTGATTTGGATCAATCAGATCGAATTTACTTTTTTTTGTTAGACATAATTTGTTAAATTAAATTTTAATGTTTTAATTATACATAATAATTTGGTTAGATTTTAAAGCTGATGTGGACCAATAAAATCAAGTTTTCCATCCTAATCATACTTAACATTTTTTTATTTAATGAATATGCTGATGTGGACCAATTATATCGAGTTTTTTAATCTCATGTGGACGCCTTCAATGTACTATCCCATCAACTTTTATATATTATATGATTATTAATTTTATTATCATAATTGACTGATTCATTGCTACCGTTCATTACCACCATTTGATTATTTCATCTTTATTGACCATATCATTTCCATCATTTGAATTGTGTCATTGTTACCAATCACTTGACTTGATATCAATATTGCCATTGTTAGGATTTAACACAATTGTTTTAGTACTTTGGTATTGTGAAACTGTTTAAAATTTTCATATCACACTATTGCACTTGATCTGTTTTATTGTTTCATATTGTGCAGGAAAACATCATGGGAGAAGCTAATACTCCAGCTGATCTTGCTCAAGTGGTCGCCAATATTCAAGTCAGTCTAGCTACCTTCGGAGATTGTGTAGCCACAATATAGCAGCCTGTTGATATTGCTGCATATTTCATGTGTTTTGCATACATATAAGATAGTTTCTCATGCATTTACCTTGCACTTTAAGCTAGTTTGCATCACTTCAGGTCCTAGAGTACTTTTCCACCAGCATTTGCATGTTTCTTGCATTTTGCATCGCATTCAGGTTGTTTTCGGCTGCTTTAAAGCTATGGAGGATTCGTGGACGTGCTAAGGCTCGTGAGGAAGTTCGTGGAGACTTGGAGAGATCAGGATTGCATGCTTGGGACCCGAGATCGAGTAGCAGATTGAACAAGGCAGGTCGATCTAGACGAGATCAAGATCGAGTAATCAAGTCGATGCAAGCAGATGGATCGAGACCAAGATCGAGTGTGGAGATCGATCTGAAGTACGGACGTAAATGACGCCATGTAGATCGAAGACCAGATCGAGCTTCCAACCCGATCAGCACAAGATCGACTCAGAGATCGACTAAGAGCCATCCGATCCAAGATAAGATCGAGTGCCAGATCGAGCTTCGTACGCGATCCCAGACCAACCTTATCCGTCCAGCTGGTTTTGGACCGTAGCGAAGGGGGGGACCATTTGCGGTTTAGCCATTTTTGGCAAAAGGCAACGATCCCTTTCATTATCCCCATTATGTCTTCTACTTTTTTCATCTCTCTCGTTTTTAGGCGAATCGCCATTGTAGACTTTCGAAGCTTTTCTTGCTTTTTGCATTTTGAATATTGAATCTTTGCTTTGAATCTATCGTTTTTCATGTTCAGTCTATCATCTACTGCATTTTGTTCGGTTTACTTTATGAGTAGTGAGTAGTTTTGTTGGGTTTCGGGGTTGGGGCGATTCGAACGGGTCAAAAAGGTTAAAGTTTTGTGTTTTCTTGTTCTTCATCACCATCTCTTCTAGGATTTCGAACGCTTAAGACTTAGAGACTCTCGCACCAAGATCTCTAAAATCCGAGGGATGTCTTACCTTGACAGGATCCAAATGTCCTGGAAAATCGAATCCTAGAGGCCAGTCTACCTTTCCCACACGCCATGGTTGTAAAGGGGACTAGTTAGGCCGTGTGTTTGAAATCTATGTTTTATGCCCTCCAATCTCTTTTTCCACCAAACACCATGGGTTTGGAGAAGAGAATGAAGGAGTGATCCATACCACACGCCATGGATGGATCTTGTTTTGTTTTCAAGGCCTAGGGAACCTCTCAAAGAGAGTAGATCTAATGTTTTCAAACAAGCTTTGACCTTTGAGACCCACGAACGTGACCCTAAACCCTAGACCCTCTTTCTTAGTATCTTAAGTCGTTTAATATCATTCCATCATCATAAAGTTGTGTTCTTGTCAATCGCATTCTACATCGTTTCATCATTCTAGGTTGTTTGTACGAGATCGATCGTTGTTGCTCGATCTAGTGGTCGATCCCGTGGTCGATCCACTAGTCGATTTTTAATAATTAGTAGCTTTGGATTTTAAATATTCCGCTTGTTCCTCGTGGTAGTTAACCCTCTTCCAGAGATTTTAAAATTGTTTTGCCTTGTATTTAATCATTGCATCTAGTTTTTAGGGATTTTACCAATCATTTTCATAATCAGCTTAGATTTGCTCATTCCTTTGCATTCTTAGTGATCTTGCTACCCCTAGGTGTGGATTGATTCCTCTCTTGCTCACTATACTACATCTTTGTGTGCATTGGAGTTTTGATAACCTCTCTGTTGCATCTTGACATCATCTTTGCATCACAGAAAAAGAAAACTATCAAATGGTGTCGTTGCCATCTTAGGGGATAGAAAGCATTAAGATTTGGGGTTTGGTAAAGACTAAGCCTTTACTTTAAGTTAGATACTGATTTTTCTAACTTCAAACTTGTGTCTTTCAGGTACATGAATTTACGTTCAAGGGGAGACAACAATTAGCTACAACCCTTGGACAACATTCATTAACTCGGACATACAAGATCAAGAAGAGTTAGAGAGCAAGCTAGAGCTTTTGAAGAGATTGTTCAGCAAGGTTCAGTGGATTTTGAAGCGATGGCTGAGCACGAACATCCTGAGGGACCTCATGAAGCTGTAGGAAGGGGCAATGGAAACCCCATACACGCGGCTAGACCCCCACGGATCATAGGAGCTGGAGATGCTCCCAACACTCATCATAATAGGTTTGGGATCACTCCTCCTCCTGTACAGAACAACAACTTCGAGATTAAGCCAGGATTCATCTCAATGGTGCAAAACAATAAGTTCCACAGGCTAGCAATGGAAGATCCCTTGGAGCATCTTGACAACTTCGAGCAAGTATGTGGGATGATCAGATTAATGGCATATCCGAAGATGCTTTCAAGCTGCGTCTCTTTCCATTTTCTCTTGGAGACAAGGCTAGACATTGGGAGAAGACCTTTCCACAAGGCACCATTACCTCTTGGGCTGAGTGTAAGAAGGCGTTCCTTTCAAAGTTCTTCTCTAGCACCAGAACAGCAAGGATGAGAAGTGAGATCAGCGGCTTCACTCAAAGGAACAATGAGACGTTCAATGAAGCCATGGAGCGGTTCAAGGACTACACCATTCAGTGTCCTCACCAAGGCTTCAGCGAAGAGACTCTACTAAGCACAATATACCGCAGAGCTTCACCAAAGATACGTTTGCTACTTGACACAGCTAGTAAGGGAAACTTCATTGGTCAAGAGGTAGAAGAGGGCATGGAGCTGATTGAAAACTTGGCATTGAGTGATGACAACTATGCTGAAGACTACGATCGTGCACCGAGAGGTTCTGAGCTAGAGTCTCACAAGAAAGAGCTTAATTTATTGCATGAGAAGATTGACAAGCTAGTGTTGGCTAACCAGAAGCATGTTCACTTCGTTGGTGAAGCGGATGAAACCTTAGAGGAGCTTGAGTTGAGCCAAGAAGAAGCCAATTGGGTGGCGGGTCAGAACAACTACAAACCTCAAGGGTATTCACAAGGCTGCAACCAGAACAACAATCTCTCCTATAGAAGCACAAATGTCGCGAACCCTAAAGATCAAGTGTACCCTGCTCAGCAAGCAAAACCATTTGTACCCTACAACAAAGGTTTTCAGCCGAGTGGTGGTTTCCAAGGGCAAGGGCAAAGCAACTTCCAAGGACAACCGCAAGGAAACAAGGTTTATACACCAATGTACCCTCCGGGCTTTGTTCCTCAACAACAACAGATGCAACCGCAACAAGTTGATCCTGTCC